AACTGATAATGTTTAATGTTCTCCATAAATTCATGGGGCTTAATAGGAAAATACACAGAATTTTTAGAGCTTAAACAGACTTTAGAGATACTACTCTAATTCAAACTCTTGATCAAATGAGGAAACTCTGTAGGCAATTTGAATGAATTCAGCTAAGACTTTGTGTGAGAAGTCGATACAGCTTTGCAAAAGAAAGAGGTACCTAATAATGATTAAATTGTTATCATTGCTTCAAATTTTCATTTGATTGTTATGAATGCCTATCAAATAAATTTTAGAGCTGCCATCAATGTATATACTATCCTGTGTATTTTCTCTTAATATTATTATCCTGTATTTATTTGTTTATTTTGATTTATCTTTTTGAGACGGAGTTTCACTCTTGTTACCCAGGCTGGAGTGTGATGGGGTGATCCCAGCTCACTGCAATCTCCGCTTCCCAGGTTCGAGCGATTCTCCTGCCTCAGACTCCCAGGTAACTGGAATTACAGGCATGAGCCACCACGCCCAGCCTATTATCCTTTATTTTTAAATTGCTACGTAAAGTTACCCTGTTTGAACTGCATGATTTGCTTGCTCATTCCCATGTTGTTGGGCATTTGAGTTTTCCCCACTTTTTCCTAATATAAATAGAACTGCTGGCTGGGTGTGGTGGCTCATGCCTATAATCCCAGCACTTTGGGAGGCTGAGGCAGGCAGATCACGAGGTCAAGAGATTGAGACCATCCTGACCAACATGGTGAAACCCCGTCTCTACTAAAAATACAAAAATTAGCTGGATGCGGTGGCATGTGCCTTTAGCCCCAGCTACTCAGGAGGCTGAGGCAGGAGAATTGCTTGAACCCTGGAGGCAGAGGTTGCAGTGAGCTGAGATCGTGCCACTGTACTCCAGCCTGGCGCCTGGTGACAGAACAAGACTTTGTCTCAATAAATAAATAGAACTGCTATACACATTTTTTTAAAAAGTAGAGACAGGGTCACCTTTCCGTGCTTCCTGCTGAGGGCTCCAACCGGCGTTGTTCTGGATTCCCATCGTAACTTAAAGGGAAACTTTCGCAATGTCTGGAGCCCTTGATGTCCTGCAAATGAAGGAGGAGGATGTCTTAAGTTCCTGGCAGCAGGAACCCATTTAGGTGGCACCAACCTTGACTTCCAGATGGAGCAGTATATCTATGAAAGGAAAAGTGATGGCATCTACATCATAAATCTGAAGGACCTGGGAGAAGTTTCTCCTGGCAGTGCGTGCCATTGTTGCCATTGAAAACCCTGCTGATGTCAGTGTTATATCCTCCAGGAATACTGGCCAGAGGGCTGTGCTGAAGTTTGCTGCTGCCACTGGAGCCACTCCAATTGCTGGCCACTTTACTCCTGGAACCTTCACCAACCAGATCCAGGCAGCCTTCCAGGAGCCACAGTTGCTTGTGGTTACTGATTCAAGGGGCTGACCACCAGCCTCTCACGGAGGCATCATATGTTAACCTATCTACCATTGCTCTGTGTGACACAGATTCTCTTCTGCGCTATGTGGACATTGCCATCCCATTCAACAACAAGGGAGCTCACTCAGTGGGTTTGATGTGGTGGATGCTGGCTCGGGAAGTTTTGCACATGTGTGGCACCATTTCCCATGACCACCTGTGGGAGGTCATGCCCGATCTCTACTTCTACAGAGATCCTGAAGAGATTGAAAAAGAAGAGCAGGCTGCTGCTGAAAAGGCTGTGACCAAGATGGAATTTCAGGGCGAATGGACTGCTCCAGCTCCTGAGTTCACTGCTACTCAGCCTGAGGTTGCTGACTGGTCTGAAGGCGTGCAGGTGCCCTCTGTGCCTATCCAGCAGTTCCCTACTGAAGACTGGAGTGCCCAGCCTGCCACGGAAGACTGGTCTGCAGCTCCCACTGCTCAGGCCACTGAATGGGTAGGAGCAACCACTGAATGGTCTTAAGCTGTTCTTGTGTGGGCCTTAAACAACATATAAGATTCATGGAAAATAAACATCGAGTTTCTTAAAAAAAAAAAAAAAAAAAGTGGAGACAGGGTCTTGCTTTGTTGTCCACGCTTGTCTTGATTTCTAAGCTTCAAGCAGTCCTCCTGCCTGGGCCTTCCAAAGTGTTGGGATTACAGGCCTGAACCACCACGCCTGGCTGCTATGCTCGTCTTTTATTAGGTTACTCCCCTGCAATTCCCCTACCCCAATTAATTCCTAGAGGGATAGTTTTACAAATTAATCAAGATACAGTATTACAGTACATTCTAGTTACTGGTAGTTAGGCTTAAACTCACTTCACAAGTAGCTTGATACTGTAAACTCAAATACTAGACATTTCACTAAATATGGGTCTTCTTAGGTGGCTGCTTTTTGTTAGGCAGAAAATCTTTTAACTGCATGGAATGAGTTACAAAGAGAGTTTTTTAAGGTAAAGAAAGGAAGGAAGGCTTGAGAAGACCCTGGGGAAATTTGACTCTTTTATAATTTCTTCTGAGTCTGATTTTCAGAGTGTTATTTTGTTTTCTTACACAGTATATCAGGCACACTCCAATTTTTTAAAGTGGAGATACACCAAAGTTATTGAAAAAGAAGGAAAAAAGGTAGAGATAGAACTATTTAAAAAACAAATTTATAGGTTAGATTAACCATAAATAGATCTCTCTCCATTAGTGCAGAGGTGAGCATGTTTTGGACTTAACATCACATAATTCTTTTGTTACTGAGATCCACTTTCATTTCTCAGACATTAAATACAGACAGGAGTTTCAGTCTTTATAGCAGTCCTGCTGCCAGATACAATTCAGCCTTGATGGGAAGGAAGTCTTGTGGCCAGATGGGTGGAGATCCATGTACAAGGCCATAAAGATAAAATTGGAAAGAAAAAAATTAAAGCTATAAGGGCCTCAGGACCAGGCTCAGTAACAAAGATGAACCTGATTACAGGCAACTGCCTGTTCTGAGTAGAGGCTTCTTTAGAATTATGAAGGAAATGCATCTCTTATTTTTATTTTTATTTTAATTTATTTTTGGAATATATAGTAAATTCATATGGATCAAAATTCAAATGAAAATTTTCCTTCCCAACTATGGTCCCCAGCCACTCCTTTCCTCTCCCTAGAGGCAACCAGTATTACTGATTATGTAATTATTCTTCCAGAATTATTTCATACATTTTATACATTCTACAAGTAAGAGAGACAGAGAGAGAGAGAGAGAGAGAGAGTGTGTGTGTGTGTAAATGAATGTTTCTATGTAACTATACACATGTATTTTCTTATTTTAATGAGTGGTTACAGAATATAGACACTGTTATATTCCTTGCTTTTTCACCTAACAGCAAATCTTGGAAATTATTCTGTATTCCTAGAAAGAACGCGTTTGCATTCTTTGAAAGCACTTTAAAAATGGCATGCGTCTACAGCAGGTTAAAGTAATTCTAATGTGTGGATTAAGCCTATTACATAATAGCACTCAAGAAATTCTTTCCTGTAGCAACCAGAGAATACGGAAAAGAAATGGAGGGGGGAAGGAATGTGCTAGGCACAGCGGCTCACAACTATAATCCCAATATTAGGAGGCCGAGGCACACAGATGACTTGAGGTCAGGAGTTCGAGACCAACTTGGCCCACATAGTGAAACCCTGTCTCTACTGAAAATGCAAAAAAAAAAAAAAAAAAAGGAATGTTTATTGATTAAATGAGGGAGAGAGTGAATTGCTTTATTAATTTAAGGTGCAAATAGGAAGAGGCAGAAAGCTAAAAATTACCTGAAGCTCTGAGACTGTTGACCTAACACTGACTCTAGGATGGCATCATAAAATGCTTTAAGGGCATCAGGAATTTTCTTTAAGGCTTCATTTTGGGAAATGTCTGTAAGAAGAGATGCCTTGGAGGTTGGGGGAAGAATGGAGTTATGGGATGGCCTTCAGACTCCAAGAGTCAGGAGACATGGCCACCATTTCACTGTGATAGGGCTCTAGGACTTGGAACAAGTCCTTTCTTCAAATGCAAAATGGGGGGTTGGAGTAAATTATTCCAATGGACCCTTTTAGCTCTTAAATTATGTTGTCTGTAATTTTGAAATTTCCTGTCTGATCACCAATTTGCACATTTGTTATGCTGAAATTGTATTTGTAAATACATTAAAAATGAGGTGTCCTTTCTTTTTTATTTTTATTTATTTATTTTTGAGACAGGGTCTCACTCTGTTGCCCAGGCTGGAGAGTAGCACAATCATTGCTCATTGCAACCTCAGACTCCTAGGCTCAAGCAGTCCTGCCCTAGCCTCCTGAGAACTACAGGGCATGAGCTACTGCACCAGGCTCTTCCTTTTTTTTTACTTTTTTTTTTTGAGACGGAGTCTTGCTCTGTCACCCAGGCTGGAGTGCAATGGCACAGTCTCTGCTCACTGCAACTTCCTCTTCCCGAGTTCAAGCAATTCTCCTGCCTCAGCCTCCTGAGTAGCTGCGATTACAGGTGTCCACCACCACACACATCTAATTTTTGTGTTTTTAGTAGAGACGGGGTTTCAACATGTTGACCAGGCTGGTCTTGAACTCCTGACCTCAAGTGATCCGCCCACCTCATCCTCTCAAAGTGCTAGGATTACAGGTTTGAGTCACTGCGCCCAGCCCTCATCCTTTCTTTAAGATAATAAAAAAACCACACAGGTTATTGGTAACAATGTGATTGTTAAGATAACAAAATTAGACTATTAGAAATTGTTTGCAATGATTATATTCCTCACAAAAATTTATTGGCTCAACTGTTAAGATAGAAGCAGATTTACATGGGTTGGACTAAATATCGCACCCACTGACACATTTTGAGAGAATTAAAACTCTGTATTTTTAACCTTTTATCAGATAGATTAAGATATTATAATATTATTCACTAGTAACTATAATTGTTATAAATGATAATGTATATATGTTTAACAATATTTAATTATCAAGATAGTAGCTAATGGTAAATATAATTCATAGTAAAATCTTTTTTCTTCTTTATTTTAGTTAAGTTTGAGAGAGAAGCTAGTAAATACTGGAACATATTTTACAAGATTCATAAGAATAAGTTTTTCAAGGATCGTAATTGGCTGTTGAGGGAATTTCCTGAAATTCTTTCATTTGATCAAAAAACTGAAGAGAAGGCAAGAGAATCGTCATGGGATCATGTAAAAAATAGTGCTACAAATTGTTTCTCAAGAATGTACTGTCCTAATGTGCCTGAAGAAAAAAGTCATTATGTGAAAAGTTCTGGCTCTTCAGAAGGTCAAAGCAAAACAGAATCTGATTTTTCCAACCTAGACTCTGAAAAACACAAAAAAGGACCTATGAAGACTGAATTGTTTCCTGGTAGCAATGCCAGTTTCAGGATACTAGAGGTACTGTGTTCAAGGGACAAAAATGGGAGGTGACAAATAATATGAAAATGTGTATTCTGTATTATTTTATTAATAATACAGATTTTTTGGTGGAAAACTATCAAATCTAAATAAGCATTCAGTATACTTTTATGCATAAATAATATTTAAGGGAATCATGTCTTTAATTAGTCAAGTTTTAAGCTTGTGGTTTAAATTTGGTTTTGTTGCTTTTTTTAAAAAAATTGTCTGTTTTCATTTTAATCTGAGGGCCGTTTTAAGTACCAATTAAGTTTTGGTCTTAATTTTTACTGTTTGTTATTACTCCTTTTTAGGTGAAATGGAAATAAGTGAGATATATAATTTGCGATAATCTGATGTAGACTTTGGTCTTTTATTTTTAAAACTAAACTCTTTCTGATTATAAAGGCATATATATTGATTAGAAAGAGAGAGAATTTGCTAATGAGGAGATAAATTATCAACAATCCTACAAACAAAGGATTTAACCACTATTAACATTTTACTGACCTCCTTTTTCTTCTTCTTCTTTTTTTTATTGAGACGCAGTTTTGTTCTTGTTGCCCAGTCTAGAGTGCAATGGTGCCATCTTGGCTCACTGCAATTTCTGCCTCCCGGGTTTAAGCAGTTTGCCTCAACCTCCAGAGTAGCTGGGATAACAGGCTCCTGCCACCACACCCAGCTAATTTTTTTGTATTTTTAGTTGAGACAGGGTTTCGCCGTGTTGGCCAGGCTGGTTTTGAACTGGCCTCAGGTGATCTGCCCACCTCAGACTCCTAAAGTGCTGGGATTACAGGCATGAGCCACCACGCCCAACTGACCTTTTTCTTCTTTTGTTTATATACTGTCCATGTATTTTGGGTTTTGTTTGTTTCTATTTAACATGGTATCATAAGCAGTTTTCACTGTCTTTAAAAATTCTCTATACATACTTTGATGGCTACAAATCTGTGGAGTACTATAGTTTTACTTATCTATTTTCACAGTACTGGACATTTTAATTGTTTTCAGATTTTCTGAACCAAACGTCTTTGCGTATAGACTTTAGCTGCATTTTCTTTTATTGTTTTAGGTTAGATTTTCTACTTCATAATTTATGAAGATTTTTAATACTCTTAAAACATATTGCCCAGTTGCTTTCCAAGAAGTTGTACTAATACTATTCCATGATGGTATATGTCTGTTTTATCACACCCTTATTGATTAAAATGTTCTTAATGTTTTCTACTTTGTTAGACAAAAATTGTACCTTGTTTTAATATGTATTTCTTTGATTACTAAGTAGGTCACATACTTCTTCAAATGTTTAGAATATTTTGTACTTCTTTTGTGTTCTGTCCATTTATTTTCTCTGCTTATCTGTTTTTTTTTTTTTTCTAATGAGTCCTGCCTTTTATCATATTTATTGCAGGTTTTTTCACAGTGTGTTGTTATTTTTCAATTTGGTTTATTTTTGGTTTTGGTGTGTAAAAATTTTAAATGTTTCCATAGTCCGATTTCTTAGTGTTATTCCTGTAATTTATTTCATTGCTGTGTTTAGAAAACTCTGCTGTACCCAGAGATCCAATAAGTTTCTAATCATTTTTTTTAATAGAAAATTTGACATCAGTGACAAAAATTTAACCTTGCTTTTTTGATATTTGCTTGTTCTTTTGATTTTAGGTTGGTTGTGGAGCTGGAAATAGTGTTTTCCCAATTTTGAACACTTTGCAGTGAGTTTTTTGAGTTTTTTTCCTTTAAAATTTTACATATTTATGGAATGTTGAGAAATTCTGGGAAAATACTGTTATGTGTATGCCAGTAGTGTTTCTAATTCCTACACGAACAATGGCTCAAGCTGTTTTCAAAAGAAATGTCTTAACCAACTGTCTACTTTCATGTGAACTGGGAATTACTCCGAAAATAGCGTTTCATAGCCATGGGTTGTCCACCATTGTTTTGAAGTAATTTTTTTTTTCTTGAGATGATGTTTCGCTCTTGTTGCCTAGGCTAGAGTGCAATGGCGCGATCTCAATTCACCGCAACCTCTGCGTCCCGGATTCAAGCGATTCTGCTGCCTCAGCCTCCCCAGTAGCTGGGATTACATGCATACGCCACCATGCCTGGCTAATTTTGTATTTTTAGTAGAGACAGGGTTTCTCCATGTTAGTCAGGCTGGTCTCAAACTCCCAACCTCAGGTGATTCACCCACCTCAGCCTCCCAAAGTGCTGGGATTACAGGTGTGAGCCACTGCACCCGGCCTTTTGAAGTAATTCTTTAAGCTTGTGTATATATGGGTGAGAGGATAAAAAAAAAGAAGAAGCGAACCAGGCACAGTGGCTCACGCCTGTAATCCCAGCACTCAGGGAGGCTGAGGCAGATGGATCACCAGAGGTCAGGAGTTCGAGACCAGAGTGACCAACATGGTGAAACCCCACCTCTAATAAAAATACAAAATTAGCTGAGCATGGTGGTGCATCTCCATAATCCCAGCTACTTGGGAGGCTGAGGCAGGAGAATTGCTTGAATATGGGAGGTGGAGGTTGCAGTGAGCCGGGATTGCACCGTTGCACTCCAGTCTGGGCAACAAGTATGAAACTCCATCTCCAAAAAAAAAAAAAACAAAGAGGAAGCGATTTCATCCTTCCACTGAGCTGTGGACTGCTAAGCTTCAGAGATTGTTTACTCCTCTTGGATACTTAGATGTCATTTTACACATAGAGAGTTGAATTTAAAGCTTACGACTTAACCTTCATTTCATCATCCCTCTGAAGCAGCACCCTGTGTAAGATGTTTGCATGCCAAATCATTGTGTCTAGGCTTAAAATTGTTTGGAGGTAGCAGCAACTAATCCTACTAATCAAAAAAGCAGAGGTCAGTTATAGCAAGAGATGTGCTCCAGGCTCGCCCTTCCTGTTCACCATTTCACCTCTGCCTTTTACTGTTTCCATGATGAAGACACAAAATTCTTCAAACACCTTTTATCTATGGCCAATCTGCCAAGCTCTGTTCTTTTTTAAGTTTACACAATAGCATTCACATTATTTTTCCACTATAAAACCAGCATTAGCACATTGAAGAACATTTCTATTAAAAGAAAAGGGGAGGAAGGGAATCAGTCATCATCCCCATCATCCTAACATAGCCACCGACAAAATTTTTGTTTTAATTCCTTTCAGTTTTTATGCATATTTTTAAATGATGTGATATTCTAAACTTTTAATTATGAAAATTTAAAAGCATCCAGAGCCTGGTGCAGTGGCTCATGCCTGTAATCCCTTTGGGAGGACGAGGAAGGCAGATCACTTGAGGTCAGGAGTTTGATACCAGCCTGGCCAACATGGTGAAACTCTGTCTCTACTAAAAATGCAAAAAGTAGTAGCTGGATGTGGTGGTACACACTTTTGTAATCCCAGCAACTCAGGAGGCTGAGGCAGGAGAATCACTTGAACCCAGGAGGTGGAGGTTTCAGTGAGCTGAGATCACACCACTGCACTCCAGCCTGGGAGACAAAGCAAGAGACTCTCTCTCAAAAAAAATTTTTTTTTTTGATATTACAGGCATCTGCCACCACTCCTGGCTAATTTTTTTCTTTTTTCTTTTTGTATTTTTAGTAGAGACAGGGTTTCACTATGTTAGCCAGGCTGGTCTCAAATGCCTGACCTTGTGATCTGCCCGCCTTAGCCTCCCAAACTGCTGGGATTACAGACGTGAGCCACCATGCCCAGCAAAAAAATAAAAATAAATAAATAAGGCATTCAGAAAAGCAAAGAATACAATGAATGTCCATATGCCCACCACCTCAGTTCAACAATTACCAATATAATGCCAACATCATGACGCTTTATCTTGGATTATTCAGGATGTATCTCCCAAAATTCAGTATACTCTTTATATTATTATAAACCTAACATAATGAATAGTGAGTGTTTCCCTATTATCATTTAATAACCAGCTAATGTGGCCAAGCGTGGGTGATGCTGGTAAATGTATAGTTTTGGATGCCCTTTCTCTTTGTGTATTTATCAGTTTTGTTTTTCTAATTTTTGGGCTGAAATTTCCAATTTCCTTATGCCACATAACCATATTTCTTTACCCCAGTGATCTCTAAGCTTATGATACACATAAATATACTACATTGGCAGTTGATTGTGTGTTACTTTATGACAGATCTCAAGATATTATTTAGCATGTCATTTCTTTATGCCTTCCTTGTCCCTCCAATCACTTTTTATATTCCTTAAGGTAGCATATTTTATCCTAATCTGATTTCCCAGGTTGCCTAACAGTACAGCACAGTTAGAGCTCAATATAACTGACTGATTAATATCTCTGATTCCTCCACTTGCTAGTTGTATTTTTCCCCTCTCTGCTTCTCCCTTCAACTTACAATTGCAAGCTCTTGGTTCCTCACTCCCTAACTCTTCTTGGCTGTATCTTTCTTTGCCTCATACCCATGTTTCGGAAATCACTGTATCTCAATAACCTGAGATAATTAATTCGTCTTTAAAAGGCAACCAGTGATTAGCCTTCCAAAGGGATGATTAGCCTTTTTTTCTGCTTAAGAAATTATGTTTTACTACTTTTAGAGAGTATAGGATTAATGTTTTACATTTTCAGAATATTTTACTGTAATTAGACCTCTGAAATGGAGAGGTCATATCGTTCTCCAAGGATCATTTAATTCATAAACCCCCTGCCAAGAGACTGCTTGGTGGTGTGGTGGTAGTAGTGATATTTACCTGTTTGCTGGGAGAAGGTCCAAGGTAGTCAGCTGATTTTACAGAAAGGTTCTGAAAATCATTGGGTGGTCACAAGACATCAACTTGGGCTGCTTTTACTGTGGGAATTCCATCTCGGAGGTCATGTTTCCACCTTGGCAGGATACATGGCAAATGGCACATGCTTTCCTTTAGCTCCTAGACTGTTTTGTATCTATGGGTATTTGGTAACTACTGCCCAAAGGTAGACTGTAGAGCTTTTATAATGAGCTAGACATACCAGTGTCCAGAAGAGCATTTGGAGCTATATGGAAGCTTTTTGTTTTGTTTTGTTTTGTTTTGTTGTTATTGTTTGTTTTTAGAGGACTGTGTTAGTTTTTAAGTTCCTGGAAGGCAAAAGCAATCTTTTTTAATAATAATAGTGATAGACCGGGTGCCGTGGCTCACGCCTATAATCCCAGCACTTTTTGGAGGCCGAGGCAGGTGGATCACGAGGTCAAGAGATTGAGACCATCCTGGTCAACAAGGTGAAACTCCGTCTCTACTAAAAATACAAAAAGTAGCTGGGCATGGTGGCGCGTGCCTGTAATCCCAGCTACTCGGGAGGGTGAGGCAGGAGAATTGCTTGAACCCAGAAGGCAGAGGTTGCGGTGAGCTGAGATCGTGCCATTGCACTCCAGTCTGGGTAACAACAGTGAAACTCCATCTAAAAATAAATAAATAAATAAATAAATAAATAATAATAATAATAGTTATAATAATAGCAATAACAATTATAATAATGACTAACATTTATTGAATGCTTACTCTGAGTCAGGCACCTTTCTGGAAACTTTAGCTATAAGAATCCATTCATGTGATAGAATATGTTAGGAAGAATTTAAAAAAAAAAGAATTCATTCAGTTCAAACAACCACCTTAGATGCCATGTTTATCTGTTTTTTAAAGAGGAGGGAACTGAATTAAAGAAGAGATTAAGCAACTAGCCCAAGGTCACATAACTAAGTAGTAAACCTGAGAATCAAACCTTAGGTAGTCTGGTTCCAAAGCCCTTGCCCTTAACCATTAGCCGCATAGTGCTATAGGTATCTGAGTGTTTCCTGAGAACATTTCAAACCACCCAGCAAATTACAAGTCACAATTACGTGGATTTCATAGGAAACAACAGGAGAATATGCTGAAGTAAAGTGCTATTTTTATGTGAGATGGATGAGAAAAGACCAAGCAGTACAAGTTGTAACTTTGGTTCAGCACTGGTTAGCTTTTCATAACCAAATCCTTTTCATCATACTTTAACTTATTTGGATAGATCTTAAATTGAATGCAAATCTCTAGTGCCACAGAATGAGTGAATTATGGATGAGCATAGTTATTCATCAATGAGTTGCCTTTAAGAATATAATCTGAGGCCAAGCACAGTGGCTCACGCCTATAATCCCAACACTTTGGGAGTCTGAGGTGGGTGGATCACCTGAGGTCATGAGTTTGAGACCAGCCTGACCAACATGGTGAAACCCCATCTCTACTAAAAATACAAAATTAGCTGGGCGCCCTGTAATCCCTGCTACTTGGGAGGCTAAGGCGAGAGAATTGCTTGAACCCAGGAGGCAGAGACTGCAGTGAGCTGAGATTGTGCCATTGGACTCGAGCCTGGGCAAGAAGAGCAAAACGCCATCCCCCCGACCAAAAAAAGAAAAAAAAAAAAAAAATATATATATATATATATATAACCATATAACCAGAGCCTGGTTCAGATTTTGCTAAATGCGTATTTGGGCTTGTATTCCATTTTTATTTATTTAGAAGTTTAGAAGTTCACCTTGCTTGGAGTACCTCTTGAGTCAGATTAGAAGTCTTAGTGATATGCTTCAAGGCCCACCTTTATATCCTGCCATATACCAGTTTGGGGTCTCAGGATTAGTGCTACTTCTGGGGTGGGCATGTAACTCCCACCTCTAAACTCTTCAACCATTTCCCCTTCTCCTCAATTAATAATGTCATCCTCCTCCTTCAGAACTTTTAAGACTTATAACTCAGGGTGCTGGCCCTCTCCATACCCCTGTAGAAGTTGTATAAAACCAATTATGTCCCCAACTAGACTATAAAACCTATGAGACCCAGGACCATCCTTACAGTTTTATGACATGCTGACCTCTTTCTGTGATTCAGACATGGTAGTAAGCAACATGATGCAAGGATTATTTGATACCAGCATACACAGCATCATCAGCAGGAGTATGGGCCTACAAAATTCAGAGTATTTGGCTGCCTTAAGTAACTATGGTCCAGCCATCATTACTGCATTTCAAATAAAGACCCAAGAGAACACTTTTAACTTGAGAAGAAGCCAATTAAAAATCATACTGCCTGTTGTCCAGGAACAGTGGCATGCATCTGTAGTTCCTGCTACTTGGGAGATTGAAGTGGGAGAATTACTTGAGCCCCAGAGGTTGAGGCTGCAGTGAGTCGTGTTTGTGCCACTGCACTCCAGCCTGAGTGACAGAGCAAGACTCTCTCAAAACAAAGCCGAGGTGGGGAGGGTGGAAATACTTACTAACAAGTCAAACCTACAGTTTCCTTTCTTCTCTAGTTTGAGCATATCTGGACTCCAGATTTAAATATTTCTTCTGGCCAAGCACAGTGACCCACACTTATAATCCCAACAGTTTTGAGAGGCTGAGGCAGGAGGATCATTTGAGAACAGTAGTTCAAGATCAACCTGGGCAGCATAGTGAGACCCCATCTCTACAGAAAAATTTTAAATTAGCTGGGCATGGGGGGGCACATCTGTAGTCCTAGCTACTCAGGAGGCTGAGGAAGGAAGGTCACTAGAGCCCAAGGTTATAGGTAGCTATGGTCACATTACTACACTCCAACCTAGGCAACAGAGCAAGACCCTGTCTCTTAAAAAACAAATAAATATTTCTTCCATCTTCATAGGAACTCTCCAGAATCCTTTCTTTATTGTTGTGATTTTGCTTCTGGAGCTGTGGAGCTTGTAAAGGTATGCTACTCCCAGGAATCATACCAACTAATGCCTGTGGTATTACCTTAGAAAAATAAAAGTTGTTTTGATTTTAAGATCACTAGAGGCCCGGTGTAGATCTCATGCCTGTAATCCCAACACTTTGGGAGGCCGAGGTGGGCGGATCACCTGAGGTCAGGAGTTCCAGACCAGCCTGGCCAACATGGTGAAACCCTGTCTCTACTAAAAATAAATAATTAGCTGGGTGTGATGGCACACTCCTGCAGTCCCAGCTACTCAGGAGGCTGAGGCAGGAGACTCACTTGAACCTGGGAGGCAGCGGTGAGCAGAGATCATGCCACTGCACTCCAGCTTGGGCTACAGAGCGAGACTTCATTTCAGGAAGAAAGATCACTATAAAGGCCAACAGCATACAAGAAATGACCAGAGAGGGTAGTGACCTACAAAATTCAGAATGTATGCCTGCCCATGAATTATTGTTGTCCAAACAGAACTTCTTTAAGTTCAGAAACAGCAACCCAGAGCAGGCCACTAACTATGCTACCTACTAACTCAGAAACCCTACCCTCCTCCACTTTTAAAGTTAAAGAGGGATTGTGAAAGATACTTGTTATCAAGGCCAAGGGCTAGCCTTAATATTTTTAGGGAAGCTTGAAATAAGCTAATAATACTGAATTGGAAAAGAGTGTTCAGATTGACAGAGGAAAGGCTTTTGGGAGAAAAGGTTAAAATTTTGACCTTTTTATTAAAAAAAAAAAAAATCCCGGAAGTCTACTAACTACTCTTTTTGCTTTCTGTTCCTTTATCATGACAGTCACACTCGTCCTACAGAGCAGCCCAGTGTTTTGCCTTTGTTCATGATGTATGTGATGATGGCTTACCTTACCCTTTTCCAGATGGGATCCTGGATGTCATTCTCCTTGTCTTTGTGCTCTCTTCTATTCATCCTGACAGGTAAATGAAGATGAAAGGGCAAAGCAGATGTGTAAAGCTCCTTTATCAGTAGTGGTTTTCAGAACTATCAAAGCAAAAATGACAATTTTTGAATTTATTATTTAGTGAACGACATTATGTATAATATGCAGCCTTTTAAAGGCAGTTTTTCCTTTCTTCGTACTTTTAGAAAGAAACTGGTCAGACTACTTCATTAATGAGCTTTCTGTCACTGTCAGAATGAAGTGAGCATATTCTGGCAAGGCACATACCTATTAAAAGTGACAGTGCTTCAAGGAAATTACAAATTCAGAACAACCTAATAGACTCCCAAGAGGGAAATTCTACTTGGTGATCAGAAACAAACATCTTTAGTGTAGTGTCTTCCTGAATGTTCATGAAGAGGTGGGCTTGGGATCTGTTTGGCTTCACAAAGGCCTGTTGATGCACTTTAAAAATTTTGTTTTAAAGAAGCACACTAGGGAATTAGGAGTTATTAAGATTTGCCAGATTATCCTTGGATCTTTATGATCTAAGGTTAGCCTGATACCATCATTTAAATATTTATGACTTAAATTTTTATACAGTGTTTTAAAATTATAAATATAGCTTTTCTCCAGAGAGAAAACATAAAAAGATATTACCAGCAATTAAAATGATTACCTTTCTTAAAATCTTGCCACCTTCTACGCATGAAAGCGCATATATGGTAAGTATCAGGTCTGTGCTTTCACAAGGTTTCTTAAAATTGGGTTCTCACGGTTTCCTGGTAGGAAATACAGACTTGCCTGTCGTCAACCACTTTTTGTTTGATAAGTGTGACCCTTTTCCATAGAAACTGAGTTACTATGTGCTTCTTTCTTTTCAATTAAAAGGCAACTAGGACCCTTTACAATTCTTTTACTTCCCATTCAGAAATGAGTACTTTGATTAGAAGAACAAACTCAATTTCCAAATAAATATGAAAGAAAGATACATTAACACCTAGTGAAATATGTCAGGTTTCATGAAGCTACTGTTTCCTACCAGTTTCTAGAACCTATTTCTTCCTGCTAATCTGTTTAGACTGTAGGCATTGTTCATGTACTAATAGAAAGATGTCATCTATGTGTTTTGTTTCCTTATATGAACAGTTAAAAGGATAGAGTAGGTGGATAGAGAACAAGATTTCCTATTTGACACCCATAACAAGAAACATTTAAATTCTAAATATGACCACAGAGAGACTATTTGAAATTAGTTCAGATAATGTATTTTCTCATGATTTGAATCGAATGTTAAAGAGAAGAGAAAGGTTGGGTGCGGTGGCTCACTCCTGTAATCCCAGCACTTTGGGAGACCGAGGTGGGTGAATCACCTGAGGTCAGGAGTTCGAGACCAACCTGGTCAACATGGTGAAACCTCGTCTCTACTAAAAAATATAAAAAAATGGCTGGGCATGATGGCTCACACCTGTAATCTCAGTTCTTTGGGAGGCTGAGACAGGCAGATCACCTGAGGTCAGGAGTTTGGGACCAGCTGTAGCTAACATGGTGAAACCCCATTTCTACTAAAAAATACAAAAAATTAGCTGGGCATGGTGTTATGCGCCTGTAATCCCAGCTACTTGGGAGGCCGAGGCAGGAGAATAGCTTGAACCCAGGAGGCAGAAGTTGCGGTGAGCCAATACTGCACCATTGCACCCCAGTCTGGGCAACAAGAGCGAAACTCTGCCTTAAAAAAAAAAAAGAGAGAGAGAAGAAAAAGCAAATACCTTGGGAAGATCACTTCTATAATATAGTATTTCATTCTATTTATTATAAAATTAATTCAAATGTATCATGTCAGTGGCCACTGGCTTACCTACATAGAAATGATCTAGAAATAAGGTGAATGAGTAGAAAGGGGGAGATATTAACTTTATTTATTTATTTATTTATTTATTTATTTTGAGGCAGAGTTTCGCTGTTGTTACCCAGACTGGAGTGCAATGGCACAATCTCGGCTCACTGCAACCTCCGCCTTCTGGGTTCAAGCAATTCTCCGGCCTCAGCCTCCCAAGTAGCTGGGGCTACAGGCGTGCACCACCATGCCCAGCTAATTTTTGTATTTTTTTTTTAGTAGAGACGGGGTTTCACCTTGTTGACCAGGATGGTCTTGATCTCTTGACCTCATGATCCACCCGCCTCGGCCTCCCAAAGTGCTGGGATTATAGGTGTGAGTCACCGCACCCGGCCAGATATTAACTTTTTTTAAAAGGAATGGCAGGCCAGGCATGGCAGCTCACACCTATAATCACAACACACTTTGGGAGGCCAAGGAAGGAGGATCACTTGAGGCCAGGAGTTCAAGATCAGTTTCGCCAACATGGTGAAACCCCATCTCTACTAAAAATACAACAATTAGCTGGGTGTGGTGGCACACGCCTGTGATCCCAGCTACTGGGGTGGCTGAGGCAAGAGAGTAGTTTGAACCCAGGAGGTAGAGGTTGCAGTGTGCCAAGATTGTGTCACTGAACTCCAGCCTGGGCAACAAAGCAAGACATTGTCTCAAAAATAAAAAATAAAAGGCTGGATGGTGTTGCTAATGCCTATAACCAGCACTTTGGAAGGCCAAGGCTGGTGGATCACTTGAGGTCAGAAGTTCAAGACAAGCCTGGCCAGCATGGTTAAACCCTGTCTCTAGCAAAAATATAAAATAAGCCGGGTGTTGTGGCACATGCCTGTAGTCCCAGCTGCTTGGGAGGCTAAGACAGAAGAATCACTTGGACTTGGGAGGCAGAGGCTGCAGTGAGCCGAGATTGTGCCGCTGCATTCTAGCCTGGGCAAGACAGAGTGAGACTCTGTCTAAACTAAATAAATAATAAAATACAAAAATTATTCAGGCAAAGTAGTGCATGCCTGTAATCCCAGCTACTTGGGAGGCTGAGGCAGGAGAATGGCTTGAACCTGGAAGACAGAGGTTGCAGTGAGCCAAGATCATGCTACCGTACTCCAGCCTGGGAGACAGAGTAAGACCCTATCTCAAAAAAAAGAAAAAAATAAAGGCAAGGCAATCTCTATAGGATTGTTTAGGACTATAGTAATAGATTCAACCCGAGAAAAGTTCTAGAAATGTAGAATCTCGGTAGCCTGGAGAATTCAGGCACAAGCTGGAGGGTCCAGCTTAAGTGAGAATAAATTGTAGGTGGCTACAAAAGAAGAGCAAGTTTTCCTTCTTGTCACTGAAATGAAAGTACAAAATATTACAGAGCCAAGCATAAAGCAGGCAGTCAGTACATTTTTTATCTCTTCCTTCTCGTCTCCCTCTATCCAGAGATAAGTGAAGACAGCAGAATTGGCTCAAGTAGCATGAAGAAAGAAAAGGGACTTCGTACCATTCCTGTCTTGTCCATCTCACCCCAGCCCACTCCCACCTGCCATTCTCAGGAACTGGCTCAGGAACTGCACTATGAACCAGGATGAAATGATCACGAAAAGTATCTCCCACTCCTTGCCTCTATTTTCAACCCCATACATTAAAGGATAGTTGGGAGGAAAGGATTTGCAGAAGGAGGTGTACATTTTAAAGTGTTTGGTTTTTTTTACTACATTTTACTTTCATGCTTGTTCGACTAATAATTACAGAAATATTTTGCTCTGTACATAAAACAGTTATCCCAAAAGTGAATATTTTAAAGTTTAGATACGATTTTCTTTCATTGGCAAAGCCTACGATATAAGCACAGAGTGAAAATAACATGTCATAGAATAAACAAACAAAAATTTTCTTTTTTTCTTTTATGTCCTTATGTTCTAGTTTTTTTTTAGAGGGGTTTTCACCTAATCATGCCACCTCCTCTGTTCTACTTCTCTTGTTTTATAGCTGCTTTCATTTTCTCAGTATCTACTTCCTTCATAACATGACATAATCTGGCTTTTACCTCACTCTTCCACTGAACAATGTTTTAATTGGGAGGAATTTACAGATTATCTGATCTAAACTTTTCATTGTTTTCAAATAGGAAAACCTCAGCAGCTTTAAGTAGCTTAAACGAAGCAGAGACAAGGACTTAGCACAGAAGCTGCCATTTACCATTCTCTGCCCATTGCAGACACTGATAATCGATTTTGTACTCTGTAACTACAGTGAGCTTTATGAGTCCTTCTCAGAGCTCTGTAGGCAGCCAGTGCTGTCACTCAGCATTAATATGAGATCTGAAATCTATGCCATCCCGGGCCTGTAATCACACATAAGGCCATGAACATTTAGCCAAAAACACTAAATCAGGAGCAGCTATAAGGGGTTATGTTTGACTGGAAGCCAGATAAGTAGAATAAACAGTAAAGGAGAAAAGCAAAGCCTTTCCGCTGTTGAGCTAGGACTTGGAATGTGAATAAAATTTAAATAGAGAGTAAGGAGGAGAGAATTCTTTGAGGGGAAACCATGTGAGCAAAGGCAGAGGCTGCTCAAAGCCAAGCATGACAGTTTGGCTACGGGAGCTGCTTCAGATTGGAAAGCTGTTGGAAAGATTAATTGGGGTCATTAGTAAGAGATCTTAAGGCTCAACTAAGAAATTAAAATATTATCCTATGGATTAAAATCATGGAAGTTTTTAAGCAAGGAGATGATTTGACAAAATTATCATTTTAAGTAGAATTATTCATTGATGACATGCAGGAAGGATTGGCAGGGAGAATAATATAGCATGTTAGGAAACAGATTTGTTTCCAGGCCTAAGGAGATAGGGGTTGGTATAAGGGAGTACCAATGGGAAACAAAAAAGACAGGAAATATCAAAGATGTCATTAAAAATAAAAATCAAAAAAAAAAGAGGACATAGAATTTTATGGCCACATGGAGAGGATAGGAGAAAAATAATTTCTCTTTCATGAGGTGAATGATGGTACCTCTGAACTAAATAAAGTCAAAAGGAGAATGAGCTCGTTTTGGAGGAAAGATATTCTCTCTCCAGATATGTAGGGCCAGGTGCGGCGGCTCACGCCTATAATCCCAGCATTTTGGGAGGCCGAGGTATGTGGATCATGAGGTCAGGAGTTCGAGAGCAGCCTCACCAACAACCCCATCTCTATTAAACATACAAAAATAAGCTGGATGTGGTGGCACACGCCTGTAATCTTAGCTACTCAGGAGGCTGAGGCAGAAGAATCGCTTGAACCCGGGAAGCAGAGGTTGCAATGAGTCAAGATAGTGCCATTGCACTCCAGCCTGGGCGACAGAGTGAAACTCCATCTCAAAAAAAAAAAAAAAAAATATGTACAACTTGAGATGCTTTGACATATATATATATATATATATATATATATATATATATATATTTTTTTTTTTTTTTTTTTTTTTTTTTTAAGACGGAGTTTCACTCTTGTTACCCAGGCTGGAGTGCAATGGCGCGATCTCAGCTCCCTGCAACCTCCGCCTCCTGGGTTCAGGCAATTTTCCTGCCTCAGCCTCCTGAGTAGCTGGGATTACAGGCACGTGCCACCATGCCCAGCTAATTTTTTGGTATTTTTAATAGAGACGGGGACTTTGGCATATTTTTTATCTTGCAAGGAAAATGAAGCACACTCAGTTTTTGTCTATCTCAGAACTACCTTAATTTGCTGTAAGTACCAGGAAACGTCTGTGATTTTGAAGTTTAGCTTTGATATCATACATCAAGCTCTGTGAAGTTACCACTCTGGTCATTTGGGTGATTTCTTGATACTCTAGGACTTTTGAATCTAGTCATCTAACAAGTTGGTATTCTTTTCTCCTTCTTTACAAAAGACTTGTGTTTTTGTTACCCTTATGTTTATGGTTTAGATTTCTTTGGCCTTATTAAGCTTTTCTTATTTTGTCTTCAAGAAAGTTAAATCCAGCATCTAAAACAAGATTTCCACAAACTGGGTATCTTTTTAATACTTTGTTTTCAAAGGATGCAGGATGTTGTAAACCGACTCTCCAACTTACTGAAACCTGGGGGAATGCTGTTATTTCGAGACTATGGAAGATATGATAAGACTCAGCTTCGTTTTAAAAAGGGTAATAGTATATCAGTTTGAGATCGTTATTAAGTGTTCTAAAGAATGCCTTGTTTATATTTCACATCAAAGTATTTAGTTGTTTTTTTTAAAAGGAATGCCTTTAAAAGTTTCTCTTTTCGCATATTTTTCAGGACGTTGTTTATCTGAAAATTTTTATGTTCGAGGAGATGGTACCAGAGCATATTTCTTTACAAAAGGTATGCTAATCTACAAGAGGAAATAATTGTTCAAGATTGTTCTTGTTGGTTATTATCTCATTGGTTATAGCTCAAAAGCTATAAAACTGAGGCTTCAGTCATTGATTAAGCGTTGGATATCTTCATACTTCAATGCTTATAACTTATATCTACATAAAAGGTTGAAAATGGCTCCTTACTTTTTAATCTTTTTCCAGTTAAAACTGCTTTAAAAGCCAGGCACGGTGGCTCACACCTGTAATCCCAGCAGTTTGGGAGGCCGAGGTGGGCGGATCACCTGAGGTTGGGAGTTCCAGACCAACCTGACCAACATGAAGAAAACCCATCTCTACTAAAAATACAAAATTAGCTGAGTGTGGTGGAATGTTCCTATAATCCCAGCTACCTGGGAGGCTGAGGCAGGAGAATTGCTTGAACCCGGGAGGCGGAGGTTGTGGTGAGCCAAGATCGTGCCATTGCACTCCAGCCTGGGCAACAAGAACAAGACTCCGTCTTAAAAAAAAAAAAAACTGCTTTACAGCTGGGCACGGTGGCTCAAGCCTGTAACCCCAGCACTTTGGGAGGCTGAGGTGGGTGGATCACAAGGTCAAGAGATCTAGACCATCTTGGTCAACATGGTGAAACCCCATCTCTACTAAAAATACAAAAAAATTAGCTGGGCATGGTGGCGCGTGCCTGTAATCCCAGCTACTCAGGAGGCTGAGGCAGGAGAATTGCCTGGGCCTAGGAGGTGGAGGTTGCGGTGAGCCGAGATCGTGCCATTGCACTCCAGCCTGGGTAACAAGAGCGAAACTCCGTCTCAAAAAAAAGAAAAACAACTGCTTTAAAGAATCTCTTGTTTTATCCTCATACCCAAAGGAAGGTGAAGGCTATTCCATTTTGGAGATACTGTTAGCCCAGATATGAAAAAAACTGATGATATGCCACAGCTAAAGGAGGAAATGTGATAAGTTTATAGAAAATACTTACCTTGGGCTGTCACAGGGGTTCTCACCTGTAATCCTAGCACTTTGGGAGGTCAAGGTCAGAAGATTGCTTAAAGCCAGGAATTTGAGACCAGCTTAGAGAACAAAATGAGACCCTGTCTCTACAAAACAAGTTTTTTAAATTAGCTGGGCTGATGGTGCACACCTGTAGTCCTAGCTACTTGGAAGGCTAAGGTGGGAGGATCCCTTGACCCGTTGAGGTTGAGCCTACAGTGAGCTATGATTGTATCACTGTGCTTCAGCCTCTGCAGCAGAATGAGACCTTGTCTCTAAAAAACCAGTACATTTTCAAAATAGAAAGAAAGAAGGAAAATTGGCTGGGCACAGTGGCTTCTGCCTATAATCTTATCATTTGGGGAGGCTGAGGCAGGCGGATTACCTGAGGTCAGGAGTTCGAGACCAGTCTGGCCAACATGACGTAACCCTGTCTCTATTAATATAAAAATTAGCTGGGTATGGTGGCAGGCAACTGTAATCCCAGCTACTCGGGAAGCTGAGGCAAGAGAATCGCTTGAACCTAGGAGGCAGAGGTTGCAGTGAGCCAAGATTGCACCATTGCACTCTAGCCTGGGCAACTGAGCAAGACTTGTTAAAAAAAAAAAAAAAAAAAAAGAAGGAAAATTACTTATCTCTAGCCAATCTCTCTTTTTTTTTTTGAGACAGAGCCTTACTCTATCACCCAGGCTAGAGTGCAGCGGTGTAATCTTGGCTCACTGCAATCTCTGCCTCTCCGGTTCAAATGATTCTCCCACCTCAGCCTCCCAAGTAGCTGGGATTACAGGCGCCTACCACCATGCCTAGCTAATTTTTCTGTTTTCATTAGAGAGTTTTATGGAGTTTTACCATGTTGGCCAGGCTGGTTTGGAACTCCTGACCTCTGGTGATTTGCCTGCTTCAGCCTCCCAAAGTGCTGGAATTAAAGGCAGGAGCCACTGTGCCCAGCCAATTTCTCATTTAAAAAAAAAAGCATTTCTAACAGTACCAAATGAATGCTGCATTCAAGGATTTCCCCAAATTTTTGTGAGTACTTTTATAATCTGCCATTTTGAGTTTCTATAAACCAACAAAAACTCAGATAGGGAGCACCTTTCAAAATATTGAAAGCTGCAACCAATAGTTTTATATATCTGTTGATTTCTGCTGTGTTAGTCTGTAAACAGGTGTATTTTTATATGCATGGTATATTTTTTGTGAGGTAGAAGAAACTCCCTTGGTTTCACAGGTTTGCTTCACCAAATTGTTCTAGAGGGTGTTTCTTATATAAGTGAAACTTAGATGGTCAGTTATTCCATCAGTGTTCCATTCCTGACACGCCCCCCCCATCCCTAGTCACATGTCATATCTTTGTTTGCCATTTTTGTCTCACAGGGGAAGTCCACAGTATGTTCTGCAAGGCCAGTTTAGATGAAAAGCAAAATCTGGTTGATCATCGCTTACAAGTTAATAGGAAAAAACAAGTGAAAATGCATCGAGTGTGGGTTCAAGGCAAATTCCAGAAACCACTGCACCAGACTCAGAATAGCTCCAATATGGTATCTACACTCCTTTCTCAAGACTGAACTTTGTAGCATGTTAAGGTACAAAGCCAGAGGACTGTGCTATTCAAGGACTACTGTAAGTCTTTCGTGTCCCAAAAGACAATGAGAAAAAGAGAAGAGAATTTGTATTTCTCTGCTGTTTTGTCATAGGTGAGTTCCTTTGTGCATTTTAAACAGATGTAAGTAGTTCGGCAGAGTGTGCCTTTTTCTGTGTTTTGAAAACTTGATATGCCCAAGCTTGTTTGAATTTATTACATCTAACCATTGTATTTGTTCCTTGAATTTTATAAACATTCAATTAAATTAGTATTATGTCAGATAATTTTGAGAAAACACAACTTGACATTTTTTGCAAGTAAAAAAATCATTTACTTTGTTTGTTTAGGCTTAGTAAACCAGTTCCCAAACACAGTCAAATTCTTCCCATTGTCATCTGATTGCAAAGAGAAAGCACACCTTGTTTCCAGGGAAGCTACAACAAACCCAAGTCAGAGTGTATTATTTTTTGTTTTGTTGTCTATTTTCTCCCAATTTTTTTTTTAAATTCAGAAGCTGATATCTGAAATAGAATTTTAGTTCTTCTTTCTTTTCCTAAAATTGAGGAAGTATGGCCCATGCTAACATTATTTTCAGACTATTCTTAGATATACAAGTTGTTAGGCCAGGTGCGGTAGCATGTAATCCCAGCACTTTGTGAGGCTGAGGCAGGCAGATTGCTTAAGCTCAGTAGTTCGAGACCAGCCTGAACAACATAGCGAAACCCTGTCTCTACCAAAACTACAAAAATTGCCAGGCATGGTGGCACACACCTGTGGTCCCAGATACTTGGGAGGCTGAGGTGGGAGGATCGGTTGAGCCTGGGAGGCAGAGGTTTCTGTTAGCTGAGATCACACCACTGCACTCCAAACTGGCTGACAAGGTGAAACCTTATCTCACACACACAAAAAAAGATGTATAAACTGACAAGCTGTTGTGTCAGGGGCTTTTGAACCAGAGCAACTTCATCTTAAATAAAGACTGTAAAATGAGGTTGGGACCTACTGCACAGCATTCTCAGGAGGTTAAGGCATTCTTAGTCACAGGTTGAGACAGGAGGTCAGTACAAGATAAAGGTCATACAGACCTTGCTGATAAAACAGGTTGCAGTGAAGAAACCAGCCAAATTCCATCAAAACCAACATGGCAGTGAGTGTCCCTCTGGTCATCCTCACTGCTACACTCCTACCAGTGCCATGACAGTTTACAAATGCCGTGGCAACATAAGGAAGTTACCCTATACGGTGTAAAAAGGGGAGGCATGAATAATCTGCCCCTTGTTTAGCATATAATCAAGAAATAACCATAAACATGGGCAACCAACAGCCCCTGGGGCTGCTCTGCCTATGGAGTAGCCATTCTTTGCTGTTGTTACCCAGATTGGAGTGCAATGGCACGATCTCAGCTCACCACCGCAACCTCCACCTTCTGGGTTCAAGCAATTCTCCTGCCTCAGCCTCCCAAGTAGCTGGGACTACAGGCACGCACCACCATGCCCAGCTAATTTTTGTATTTTTAGTAGAGACAGGGTTTCACCTTGTTGACCAGGATGGTCTCGGTCTCTTGACCTCATGATCCACCCACCTCGGCCTCCCAAAGTGCTGGGATTATAGGCATGAGCCACCACGCCCGGCCTCCTTTACCTTCTTTATAAACTTGTTTTCACTTTGCTGTATGGACTCAGTTCTTTCTTGCCCAAGATCAAAGAATCCTCTCTTGGGGTCTGGATCCAGACACTTTCTGGTATCAGTTGTAAGCTCTGTTTAAGACAACTGTTATACCCAAGAAAATTATTAAATTATAGCAGTTAAACATTTATTTACCCCCTTGCTTCAAAAAGGACATAAGTTGGCTAGCAAATCACATTTTGTAGAAATGAAGTTTTTTAGACTGGTCTTTTACTCATTACATAATGTTTATTGACTACTTACATATGAGTGCTGAATTCTATGGAATAATACAAACAATAAAGACCCAACCTTGTTTATGCTCTTCAGGGAGCATAAATAGCATCCAGCTGGCAAAATAAAATGTGCATATCCCAAACCTATAAATCATGATCTAAGACAATATACAATCAAATACTCAAATAGGGAACTTAACAGCTAGCAGACTTTGATTATGAACCACAGAAACCTAGAAGAAATGAATACTCTCTTGAAAGGACCATCATTGGAATAATTCAGTTCAAACTGTTTTTCCTTTCTGAGTTCACTTAAAATGCAATTTTCGGGAAGAATGTCATTGGTCCAGCTTTAGTTATTAGTTCAACTCTTTTTTTCTTTTTTGAGATAGAGTCTCGCTTTGTCGCCCAGGCTAGAGCGCAATGGCACGCTCTTGGCTCACCACATCCTCCACATCCTGGGTTCAAGCAATTCTCCTGCCTCAGCCTCCCAAGTAGCTGGGCTTACAGATGCATGCCACCATGCCCAGCTAATTTTTGTATTTTTAAGCAGAGACCGGGTTTCACCATGTTGGTCAGGCTGGTCTTGAACCCCTGACCTCATGATCCGCCTGCCTCAGCCTCCCAAAGTGCTGGGATTACAGGCGTGAGTCACCATGCCCGGTTTATTGGTTCATCTCTTAACAGGCTGGGACAGGGCAGCTTAATTGATGATGACACCAGAATGGGCAACATGGTGAAACCTTGTCTATACTAAAAATGCAAAAATTAGGCAAGCATGGTGGCATGCATCTGTGGTCCCAGCTACTCAGGAGGCTGAGGTGGAAAGATTGCTTGAGCGTGGGAGGTGGAGGTTGCAGTAAGCTAAGATTGCACCACTGCACTGCAACTTGGAGTAGAAGAAAATGTCACTTCCTGGAATGGGAGAAAGTTCTTCAAAGGAAAATCAAGACACTACTATAAAAAAAACCAGGGGAGGATGCTGTCCAGTCACACCCAGTACATCACATAGCAGTGGTAGCAGCAGTAATAGTAGTTGTACAGAGAGAGAAAGAGAGAGAGAGAGAGAGAGAGAGAGAGAGAGAGAGAGAGAGAGAGAGAGAGAGAGAGAGAGAGAGAAAGAGAGATGAGCTCTGAAAAAGAATGGAAAAGAATCCAGTTCCAGTTTCTTGGGGGAGGTAGGTCTCAGGCTAGTTCTTGAATGTACATTCTCAGCAGATGGTGAGAAGACAAGTGTGGTATGGGACATTAATCATGAGGAATAGGGAGAAAAGACGGGGAAGGGGTCAGCTTGTAAATAGCCTAAAATAGCAGGTATATTGACTTCTAGTCTCTGAACTGGAGCCATCTGAGATTATTTTGTTTCTGTTTTATCCTAGACATGGTGTCTTACAAATGTATTGAGAGTGATTGAGGAGTTGTCTATGGAATAGAATGGAGTGAGGTCAAAGATCAGTGGCAAGGAAGACCACATAAAGGTTTTTGCACAAACTTGCCTTGATGGCAAGACCTCAGAAGTACAATTATCAAGCTTTCTGTTTAAACATGCATAAGTCAGTAGTTGTAAACGTTAAAATTTGCCCAAGACTCTTAACTCAGTTCTATTTCATAATTAAAGTGTACATTAAAAAGCCAAACTAGTAATGAAAGTATTACATACAACAGGGGCAATTTAGATAAGTTAATGTTGCTATGGGAACCCCAGCAGATCTCCTTGTGTCTCCATTTAAAAATCATGGCCCAAGGTGGTTTTAAAAACAACAGAAGGTAAAATTATTCTCACATTCTCACACATGTAAATTGTACTGTCTCTCTCAGTTCTAAATAGCGGATTCAAGCCAGCCTCTTGACTGGCACAGTAAAATTCGGCTTCGTGTCTTATTCTATAATGTATTACAGCATGTGAGTTAACCTTTAGAAGCTTCAAAAATACATCAACCAAATTTGGACTGTGAGACACAAACTGGTCTCTTTTGGGCTCTGTCCAGCATAGCCCTCCTATTCCACATGGCTGCGCAGCAGGGCCATTTCCACCAGTGTCTTCTACTTGCCTGGTCAGTCTTTCTCTCTCTTAAACTACCTACAGCAACTTCCTTCTCAGGGTTTGCTGCTAGACAGAAATGTCGATTTTGGCAGAGAAAGAAAAGAGAAAAACCTATTTGGAACTTTGTCTATAGATGTTAAGAAATCATGAAGTGTTGCAAATGTAACTGCTTGGGTATTAGTTTAAAATATTTGATAACTGCATGAAATTCTGATTTACCCCTCAAATCCATAAATATAGGACCAGTTGGTTAGGCAGAGTTTGATATTTAAAAACTCATCTTCTGAGGGAACTGAATTTCAAAAGGACCATTTTCTTTCCAGCAGTAAAAGGTATATTATTTTATCTTCTTACAGTATAGAAACAATGGAATATATTGTTTAAATGCATCCTTCGTTTTTTTCTCTATTTCTAAAAATTCGCTTTTGAGCATGGTCCAAATGTAAAAATTCTCACACATGAGGAACTGTTTCCAAAGGTTCTGAGAAAGTCAAGATAACAGTGTCTATTATTAAAAGTTTTGCATTCGGTATGACACATTTGCCTATGTTGAAACACCCATTTAACATTGACTTCTGAGAACTTATTTGCTTTGCCATTGTCAGTTCCATATGCTTTGTCTCCAAATTGTGAACATGTTCCAGTTTCTACCGGTATGTGATTCTGTGTCGTTGCTGTACTCTAGTTTGCACATGAAAATTCACCCATATGCATCTCGCTGCCCTCTTGGAGGAAAAACTTAAAGCCATCAGAACCATCTGGATTGTTAAACCCCAAAACTTCCAACTCATCAAAGTCCTGAAGCCTGAATAGATCACACATTGTTACTTCTCGGTGGTTTTGATGTTTGTTATGCTCCTCACAAGTGCAGATAACTTCACATTTGCATCGCTAATAGACCTCTTTCAAAGCCTCTGCTCCTCCTGCTTCCTGCCTCTATTAGTCATCAGGAGACTTTGTGTTGGCGTGGGTATTTTCCCCGCTTGTGAAAGTGCATTGTCAATTCTAGAGCATTGAATATATGTGAGGTATTGTTATTAATAATAGCATTTGCAATCTGCAAGACAGTACACACAGTATTCCAGCAACAGAGACTTTTTCAAAGCTTCTATGAGACATTGTAAGAAAGACAGTATTTTTCATTGGAAAAAAGTGTTGCCTCAGAGTCAAACAGGAAGCATGGGTCCTAGCTCCTATTGAACTGCTTACTACTCTTAATTTAGCTCTGAATGCTAGATTTTGCATATACTGTACACATTATTTAATCCTCAAACTCCTATGAATTCATTTTTATGATAACCATTTACAGAAGAGATGTTGGGTAACTTGCTCAGGATATGACATCTAGTAAGTAGCAGAGTCACAACGAAGACCCAGAACTGTCTGATTCCAAAACCTCTACTCTACTCGCTGCACTTATAACGGATGGGCCCAAATGCTGCTGGGAAAGGCAGCCGGGAAGAAAGAGAGCTTCTGAATCAGAAAACGATAGCAGTGGAGAGGAGTTTGTTTCGGACGACCTTCAAGGTTATGGCTCATTCTAGATCCAGTCATTCTAACAAATAAGTAGGTTACACTTGTCCACAATTACAAATTGGAAAGGAAGAGAAGGAAAGGAACTGAGAGGAATGACAAAGCAAAAAGCTTTCAATCAGTTCTTTTCAGCATTTTGCCTCTGCCTCATTCTGCACTCGCCCCACCCCCTCAGGCTTCAGCCTTCCACTTGGCATCCCTCCTCGCAGAGCACTCTCACTTGCATACTCCTCACTTAAAGAAAAAAAATCGTTCTGTACTGCAAGGGGAAAAAAGAAACCCTAAAAATGTCTTCAAAAGGATTCAGCTATAGGGTAATGTAAAATATGTGAAATCAGGAGGTGTCAGTAATAAAATATGAGTGAAAACATCATTATTTAAAACATTGTATGTACATTAATGCCACATTAATACCAATTCAAGCATGAAATGTTGAACATTTCTTGGAATCTGGTTTCTTGGAATATGGTTTGGGATTTGAGAAGCACAAAGGTACCCGCAAGATGGCTTTCGTGTAGTTATAAATATAAATAGAAGTAAAATAACAGTTGCATCTTCATTTATAATGAATCTATATTGTGGCCTCAAAGCTACAGAGAAAAGTGGATGCCAAAATCTGTCTTTCATTTACATATGTCTTAAATGACAGGGAAGAGGTGTTGAAGATAAAATTACTTTTTCCTATGAGTATGAATCAGCAACATGCAGTAACAAGCAAGTAATAATAGTTCTGCGTGTGAGTGCCTACAGAGGGTAAGAAAAATAGCATCAGATTGAAAAAGCAAGTGCACCTGCAGGAGGGACCCAGGAGGCTGCAGAGCACAGCTCCCTTGAACACCATCTCAAAGTGTCTCAGAGCACAGTGACCCTAATTTAAATGGATGCAGCACACTGAAACCTCCAGATGGTCAGACAGCCCACCCTCAGCTGCCCCTGGATCTCAGGAGAGGCAAGCTACTAGGCACCTCCACTTGGCCAAGAGTTTAAAACAACAGCTTCTGATTCTACAGTGTCTGTGGTTTCACAACCACTTAACCTTAAGTAAGGAACAGCCAGAGGCAGCTGAATGAATAAATACGTGTTAACGTTACATAAAGAGGAAAAAAATCAATACTTGAGAAACACATGGACTTCAAATAGTGCCCAGGTAGCTGTGTCCTTGGCATCCCAGTAATCTGGGTCTTTATCTTTCTTTGATTTTCTCCAGCAGGTAGCCACTAAGTAGATCCAGGCCCCAGGGCAGGAAATGCTTCTCTCTATCAGATGTTACCTATCAAATAAAATGAGCCTTTGATTGCCTCCTAAAAAGCCCCAAGCATCATCTTTCCTAGTTGGGCTGATGAGGTTTGGTCCAGGAAAATGGAATTTTGTTATGCTTATGAAGATTATTTGGCCAAATATTTTTAATCCATTAGTTCATTGCAGAAAACACAGAAATTAATTTTTCCTCATTTAATCTTTATATATCAAATATTGGTTGTTTCAAAAAACATTGGAGAAGGACAGTCACCATTTGAGCTTTTAAGGCTTTTTCACAGGGAACAAGCACTAAACCTGTGTGAGTTCCTAAAATTATCAGTGAGCCTGCTGCTGAGTCCATTGCATTAGTGTTTTATTTTTTAATGCTATGTACTTAGAACAAGCAACACTACGTAATTGCTACCTCATTTCTCTCACCTTCTGCCTCCTGAGAGCAACTTGTGTTCCTCTTAAGGCGGTCCGGCTGAACAGAATGCTTGGAGTAAAGAATTCGATCGCTCTCCTTAGGTCTTTAGTTGTGCCCTGTTCCCTCAGGTGAGCAGAAACACAGCCCCCTAAGCAGTGTTTGGCACTCACACTGAAAATTGCCTGAAAGATAATCGCTGAAATTGCCAGCATCACATGCTGCATCGAAACAAGAAAGAAATTTCTGCCTCCGAGGATAATTGCTTTTCTCATTGCTCATACTTTTTCTTTCACAGTCCTCATTTATTTTAATATTTATATTTTTACTTTGACTCTAGAAGATATTTTTAAAGTTTCTTTTTAATCCAAATGAAAGATGAAATTTAGGATCCCAGAAAGCATGGAAAACCTATCCTTTTCATGAATATATTCTTAATCCACCAGTCTCTTGGAGTGTCTCTTCATTTGCATCTTTGTTTCCTAATAGAACACCTGGGCTCTGGAGATTAGTGAGACAAAGCTTCATTATAACCTTTCTTGTTTTACTCCCATTTCTTCCATGGTTTCTCTCCCTAAATCACTCTCCAGGTGCTTCTTTCTCTTGCCAAATAGTGCAAGGAAATACTTTTGCAGATCTTTTGTTTACTTTAGGAAAAAAACATGGATCCAGTCTTTCCCATTCGGGACTGCTGCTCATTTCCTGACTGGCCTTTAAAGTTTGGCTCAGGAGCAACTTGGGGACTTGTTTTCTACCCACAGTGAAAGGAGCTGGGTGCCCAGCAGCCCCATGCTAGCATGAGAATTAAGTTTTGCTAATTCCCTGGATAAGCAAGCTGACGTTGTCCTCATAGATTTTTTTTCCCCGTTTCTCAAAGCTTTAATGCATACTCATTTAGCTTTAACTTTTAAAAAGACATTTTAATAGTGTTTTTCCTCCAAGCTCATGCGGAAGCTGATCATGTGCAGGAGGAAGCTCTAGAGCATAAAGAATTACCTCTTCACTGTTTTTCACCTACTACCTCACACACTACACAACACATCCAGGCCTTACCCCTACTCCAATTTCATTGGCAATTACCTGGCCTGGTATAGGAGGAACTGTGACACCAAAGGAATTTGACTTGGGTTACCTCATTTTCTAGGTTCCCAAGATTACCAAGTTAAGGAAGCTTTGGTTATTACATAGTTGAACATTTTCTTATTTCATGTAAGTTTTGTAAAATCTTCTGTGATTTATTCTCCTCTTTGGCACATTTACATTAAATTTTATTCTAGTTATGTAACTATATAGTATAATTATGTTTATATATGGATATAAATTGCTCGGTTAATCCTACTTTGGGGAATTTATTCATAGTTTGCTGTGAGGTCAATAACTTTCCAAAGAGATAGGCTTTCTAAACTTGAAGTCTATACTTTTATATATTAATGCATTTTTTTTTTTACATTAGAAGATGGTTAAGCTAAGAAAGTTGAATGATAGGTAGAATGAAAGTAGAAAGCACTGACTGACAAATCAAAGATCTTAAGTATATCAGGGATAAGTGTTGTCTTTCATAAGGACTTAATCTGTAATATAAAATGTCAAATCAAATGCCATATTTGGCTAGCCACGGTGGCTCACACCTGTAATCCGAGGACTTTGGGAGCCCGAGGTGGATGGATCACCTTAGGTCAGGAGTTCGAGACCAGCCTGATGGGGTGAAACCCCGTCTCTACTAAAAATACAAAAAATTAGCTGGGCATGGTGGCATTCACCTGTAATCCCAGCTACTCAGGAGGCTGAGGCAGAAGAATTGCTTGAACCCAGGAGGCAGAGGTTGCAGTGAGGCGGAGGTTGCACTACTACACTCCAGCCTGGGCAACAAAAGTGAAACTCTGTCTCAAAACAAAACAAAACAAAAACAAATACCATATTCATGGTGGTACAGACAAAGACTAAGCTATTGGCATAGACAAGGTCCAATTGAGGAAGCACACTGTGTCGCTGTGGTGATGAGGAATCCAGGGTTGGTCATTCCTCTAAAGCGCAGTCAGGAACAGTCACCTGCAGGGAAGACTACCAGCAGAAGCAAGCAGCACCCTGGCCTTACAGAAAGTGGACAGTGTTCACAGGCAGATTAACCAAATACTGCTTCAGTGACCCAGAGAAAAACACACGATCACAGCAAGAGTGACTTAGGGCTGAATCTCAGAAAACCGGACTGGAGGCTTAACTGTCCCCTGCCTAAGCTCAGAGAAAGAACCCAAGAAAGAGAGCTAGCTGAGCTTTGGAAACAGGAAAGCTAGAGGCCGTGAGGTTTTTTTCTGCTTACCTGAAACACCATTTCAGGTGTTTTTGTAGCACAGAAATGGCTACTAAAAGCATTGGGGTGCAGAAAACAATGCCCCAAAGGATGGTGCTTCAACATGCTGAGCACACTGAACTAAAGGAAATTAAAAGGACATCTAAGCTGCCTCAGAACCAAGGACTCAACTGGGCGCGGTGGCTCACACCTGTAATTCCAGCACTTAGGGAGGCCAAGGCAGGCGGATCATCTGAGGTCGGGATTTCGAGACCAGCCTAACCAACATGGAGAAAACTCATCTCTACTAAAAATACAAAATTAGCTGCTGTGGTGGCGCATGCCTGTAATCCCAGCTACAGCTACTCAGGAGGTTTAGGCGGGAGAATCGCTTGAATCCTGGAGCCAGAGGTTGCAGTGATGGTGCCATTGCACTCCAGCCTGGGCAAGAAGAACAAAACTCCATCTCAAAACACACACACACACACACACACACACACACACACACACACACACACAAGGGTTCTTAGTTTCTCCACCTCCACCCCACATCAAGCACAGGGAGGAGTTCTCTGTGGAAGTTTCCTTATCTGACTGAGGAGACTTATTCCAAATGAAATGCCATTGGCCTAAAATCCCCTCCTTAGGAAATCTCATCAAATAACCAGGGAAGATTAACTACCAGAAAAGACTAAAAGTCACCTTGCCCAGACAGACTTTTTGTCTGTTTTTCTGAGGGCAGTTCTGAGAGGTTACCTGGGAGACTTTAGCTGCGTAATAAGACAATCTTTGTTCACAATGAAGTTCTGCTTCTTGCCTTTTTGAAATTTATTGCTACCTCTCTGAGAGCACAAAAAAAAAAACTTTGTCCCAGACTATCTGTCCTCTGGCCCCATTTAGTTTTCAAAGAGAATCGTTTACAAACTACTGTTTGCTCTTTGGGTCCACTCAATTCTCCTAAAAATCATTTACTGCCTGTATTAGTCTGTTCTCAAGCTACTAATAAAGACATAACCAGCCAGCCACGGTGGTTCACTTCTGCAATACCAACACTTTGCAAGGCCAAGGCAGGTGGATCATCTGAAGTCAGGAATTTGAGACCTGTCTGACCAACATGGTGAAACCTCAACTCTACTAAAAATACAGAAATTAGCTGGGTGTGGTGGTGTGTACCTATAATCCCAGCTACTCGGGAGGCTGAGGCAGGAGAATTGCTTGAACCTGGAAGGCTGAGGTTGCAGTGAGCCGAGGTCACACCACAGCACTCCAGCCTGAGTGACAGAGGGAGACTCTGTCTCAAAATAAAATAAAGATATACCCAAAACTGGGTAATTTATAAAGGAAAGAGGTTTAATTGACTCACAGTTCCACAGGGCTAAGGAGGCCTCACAATCGTGGCAAAAGGTGAATAAGGAACAAAATCATGTTTTACATGGCACCAGGCAAGAGAAATTGTGCAGGGGAACTCCCATTTATAAAACTGTCAGATCTCATGAGACTTATTCACTACCACTAGAAAATTATAGGGAAAACCACCCCAGTGATTCAGTTATCTCCACCTGGCCCACCCTTCACACGTGGGGATTATTACAATTAAGGTGAGATTTGGGCGGGGACACAGCCAAACCATGTCATTTTGCCTCTGTCCCCTCCCAAATCTCGTGTCCTCACATTTCAAAACTAATCATGCCTTCTCAACAGTCCCCCAAAGTCTTAACTCATTTCAACATGAACTCAAAAGTCCGTAGTCCAAAGTCTCATCTTCGGCAAGGCAAGTCCCTTCTACCTATGAGCCTGTAAAATCAAAAGCAAGTTAGTTCTTTTCTTTTCTTTTTTTGAGTTGGAGTTTTGCTCTTGTCACCCAGACTGTAGTGCAATGGCATCATCTCCATTCACTGCCTCACTGCAACCTCTGCCTCCCGGGTTCAAGCAATTCTCCTGCCTCAGTCAACCAAGTTGCTGGGATCACAGGCACCTGCCACCACGCCCAGCTAATTTTTGTATTTTTTTCTTTCTTTTTCTTTTTTCTGGATTAAGACTTGAGTAGAATAATTTTTGTATTTTTAGTAGAGACAGGGTTTCACCATGTTGGCCAGGCTAGTCTCAAACTCCTGATCTCAGATGATCTGCCCACCTCAGCCTCTCAAAGTGTTGGGATTACAGGCGTGAGCCACCATGCCCAGCCTCCAAGTCAGTTATTTTCTACAAACAATGGGGGTACAGGCATTGGAAAAGCACACCCATTCTAAATGGGAGAAATTGGCCAAAACAAAGGGGCTACAGGCCCCATGTAAGTCCAGAATCCAACAGGGCAGTCAAATCTTAAAGCTGCAAAATGATCTTTGACTCCATGTCGCTCATCCAAGTCATGCTGATGGAAGAGGTAGGTTCCCATGGTCTTGAGCAGCTCTGCCCCTATGGCTTTGCAGGATACAGCCTCTCTCCCAGCTGCTTTCATGGGCTGGCATTGAGTGTCTGTGGCTTTTCCAGGTGCACGATGCAAGCTGTTGGTAGATCTACCATTCTGGGGTCTGGAGGACAATAGCCCTCTTCTCACAGCTCCACTAGGCTGTGCTCCAGTAGGGACTCTGTATGGGGGCTCCCACTCCACATTTCCCTTCTGCATTGCCCTAACAGAGGCTCTCCATGAGGGCTCTGCCCCTGCAGCACACCTCTGCCTGTGTGTTCATACATCCTCTGAAATCTGGGCAGAGGTTCCCAAACCCCAATTCTTGGCTTCTGTGCACCTGCAGGCTCAACACCATGTGGATGCTGCAAAGTCTTGGGGTTTGCACCTTCTGAAGCCATGGCTCCAGCTGTACCTTGGCCCCTAATAGCCACGGCTGGACCAGCTGGGATGCAGAGCACCAAATCCTAAGGCTGCACAGCAGGGGGGCCCTGGACCCATCCAAGGAAACCATTTTTCCCTCCTAGGCCTCTGGGCCTGTGATGGGAGAAGCTGCTGCAAAGCTTTCTGACATGAACCGGAGACATTTTTCCCATTGTCTTGGTGACTAACATTTGGATCCTTATTACTTATGCAAATTTCTGCAGCTGGTTTGATTTTCTTCCCAGAAAATGGGGTTTCTTTTCTATCACATTGTTAGCCTGTAAATTTTCCAAAACTTTTATGCTCTGCTTCCTCTTGACGTTTTGTCACTTAGAAATTTCTTCCACCTGATACTGTAAACTATGTCTCTCAAGTTCAAAGTTCCACAGACCTCTAGGGCAGGGGCAAAATGCCACCAGACTTTTTGCATAGCAAGAGTGATCTTTCCTCCAGTTCCCAATATATTCCTCTTCTCCATCTGAAACCACCTCAGCCTGGACTTATTGTCCATATTATTATCAGCATTTTGGTCAAAGCCATTCAACCAGTCTCTAGAAGGTTCCAAACTTTCCCATATTTTCCTGTCTTCTGAGCCCTCCAAACTGTTCCAACCTCTGCCTGTTACCCACTTCCAAAGTTGCTTTCAAATTTTTGGGTATCTTGACAGCAGCACCCCATTCCTGGAACCAATTTATTGTATCAGTCTGTTCTCATGCTGCTAATAGAGACATACCTGAGACTGGGTAATTTATAAAGGAAGAGGTTGAGTTGACTCACAGTTCCACATGTTTCTCTTATGTTTAATTCAGATTATCAAATACTTATTAAGCATCTACTGTGTGCCAGAAACTGTGCTGCATACTGAGAATACTAAAATGCATGTGGCTTATGAAATGAGCCTCTGCTCTTTAGATGCCTGCAGTTCAGGATAGATGTCCTTTTGTCTGAAATGTGGTAAGCACCTCCTACTTAAATCTTTGGCTCCAGCAGGCCACTATCATTTGGCCACCATAGTTTAGCCAAACCCAGCATATCAGGTGGTATCCTCATTTTTGAGACCCTTTTCAAGAACCTCTGAGGACAATAAATATAGTCATGTGCTATCCAGTAAAAGCCAAACAAAGCATGCGAAATGGGTCCTTAAGGTATAAATTTTGTACCATCTACT